CTAGCTCTCCTAGGTGCAAAAGGAGTCTCATAGTGTTTATAGTGACATAAAAACAAACAGGACTTACCACGTCCCTTTTTTCCTGTCACACAAGCGAGACTCCAGACTGCTGTTTGTTGCTCTCTACATCTCCCTCAATTCTCTTCTCCAGAGGTTCTTTGAATTTGTTTTTTTATAAATATGAAAATAAAATGTTCATTATTTGATCTCTACCAGGCCACTAAAGCATGGGATGAGCTCACAGCACAGAAGCTGCTATTTTTCTCCATAAGCTGCAGTCAGCAGCTTATGCCTTCTTGTGCCACGAATGTGGCATCATAGTTCCTAGTAGGGTGTGTTAATTCCTCAGTATTTACTTTTGGCTTTGCAATATTCCATTATTTACAGTACTTGTATAGACCCTTAAAGGATACCAGACATGCTGGCTAAAAATGTCTGTGAGTGCACAGACTGCAGTGGCATATGCTGGACGTGTACTCAAGCGAGTGCCGTGCACTGATGCTGCAACTGCCCAGCCGTGTGCCAGGCTCTGCTGTCACCCCCACGTCCTTGTTACGGCTGAGTGCCACTGGATGTACAAGATGTACAAGAAGAAAGCAACTTAGTCCAAGAAAGCCCAAGAAGGACCGCTAGTATGATCTTCACCAGGGCCTTTGATGGTGTTCAGCCAGGATAGGGTACCACTTTATTTAGGTCTTCCAGACAAGAAAGTTTAATTATGAAACGACAATGCCCTGCTCAGTTTCAAACTGCAGCTCCGTGGCATAAGGAAGCTCTCTCATCCAAGAAAGTTTGTTCGTGTGATCTTTGTATTTCACAGTGGAACTCTGCCAGCTTCCCAACAAGAGAAATCTCTTTGCTTTGCAGTGGAGGTGGGAAGATTTGCTCTGAGGAGCAACCGTGGCTATTGCAGACAAGTGAACAATTCCAAGGTGCTGGTCAGCCCTGGGAGGGTCACCAATGGACAGTCCCTAATGATTGTGAGGCTAAGATATTAAGCAAAGAATTGTGCCTTGGCTGAAGCAAAACTTTCTCCTGTATTTATTGATTTTGTAATATATGGGGAAAGAATTAAAAACTAATTCTTGTGTTGTTTGAAGACTGGTTGAGGTCAGGCTGGTAGGTGCTGTTCTGTGTCTTTGTGCTGTCAGTAACATGTAAGACTTTGGTGCAGCTGTTTGAACAAAATGGGAGCTTTGTCAGGGAAGAGCTGTTCTTTTAAATTAGCAGCTGTAAATGACACAAGACACTGAATAGAAGGAAATCATATTTTGTGCTGGCTTTCTTCCCTTTCTCCCCACTCCTGCCTTGTCGTTTCCAGTACCCCAGAAGTTCTTCAGCTGCAAAACTACTCCTTGATCTTAACTTGCCTGAGGAACATAAATGAGTTCACATTTTACTCAGATCAACAATAATGAGGATTAGAGCTACAATATCAGTGTGCTACCTCACCAGTTATACCCTCCTGCACGTTCTCTATCATTGCTTGAGTTCTGTGCCTTGATTTACAATATAGGCTCTCTTTATAGGGAAGGAATGCTGCTGATGAGTACTCTCCTGCACTAATTAATGGGAATATTAAAATGTATGGGATCAAATGTCGTTTGAGTTGCCTCAAGCTTTGCCATGAGATACTTTTGTGGAACGGTGCCTCTTTTTATAACTTTAGATTTGAATGTACAGAGCTCTGATTGATGTTTGGCTAATATGTGGGGTTTTGCTTTTGTTTTTTACAATTAGCATTTTTTTAATGTCTCTTATAGAGGTGGTAGCAGTGGGGATTTTATACCACCTGTCTCTGTAATCTTAAAAATATTACATGAAGGACTAAATTGGATCAAAATATGTGGAATTAAAATAGCGTAGAAGGAAACAATATTTTAAAAATTACTTGTAATATAAAAAAATCCACTGTGGCAATTTGGAAAGATAGGATGAAAGGGAGGGGGAAAAAACAGTCAAACCAGTATTTTGAATGATTCATTTCCATCTGTGATCTGTATAGCTTACTGTCGAGTTCTCACACCTTCATAAATGGTTTGTGCAACACTGTCTTGATAGAGTTTTCAGTTGTAAGTTTCTTTGCAAGGACAATGATATATGTCAAAAACAGATAAGGATCCATATTTTTGAGCAATAGAAGAAATCCACTACTAGGCTGAAAAATCCATTTTTTTGTGATAAATTTAATTTTATGAAGATGGATAGGAGAATAATTTAGTTATATTCTTCCAATTAGTACTTTTAATTATAGACCTGTGTAGTCTCCTTTGTAAAGAACTCTAGAGTTTTTAAAAATCCTTTTTAAAAGCGCTATTTTCATACTTTTAAAAATATCAGTGCTGGAATATTCTGCCCTTTATATCTCAGGGATTTATAAGTTGAAGGAATGGTTATTAAATGTCGTCACAAGCCACTTAGTGGACAAAAAGCTAATGGAATGGTAACATGGTATGAATGCCGAAACTGCTGCCTGTGGTAAGCTGTGCAGAAGGATAATTGGCTTTCAGTCATGTAAACTAGTCACAGATATTCAGATCCTTTGAACTGTAGTAAGAAATGCACACTTACTTTAAATAGTGATTGACTAAGCATATAAATGTCTTGATCAAGTCATCAGGAAAAAAAACAAAAACTGAAAAGAAGTTTTCTATTTATGTTTTGTTATTTCTGTCTGAAATCTTACTCTCTGCATCTTTGCTGTGTAATGTTCCCTGCTGAGAAGGACAGACTGGAAAAACAGTGGGGATCTTTGCCTTTTGAGTTGCTCTTTGCTTTGCAGAGAACTACATGTTGGAAGATCCTGTGTAGTTGTCCAGTGTTTTGTTTGGTATGGGAGGAACATGACTATTTAAGAAAGGCAGGAAACTGTTATTTGGTAATTTTAGCTACATTTCAATTGCAAGTACTGAAAAAGCAGACAGAAGTTTAAATATATCTTAGGTTCATACCTACAAATCAGTTCAGCTTTTGTGCTCTTTGGTCAGGAAATTCTGAAACAATATGGAATGAAGGTGTAAAGGGATAATTCTGAGTTGAATTTGCCACAACTATGAATTCACAGGTCATGTTTATCTGAAGTGCTTCTCCAAAATTCTTTCTGTCTTCTTTTTTAAATAGCAAATATAACAGCTACTGTGGTAGAATCAAACTATAGCATATTTTGCAAGAAGGACTAGATTTTCTTCTAATGCAAATTCATGCCCCTTTGTCAAAGTCAAAGGATACAAGCTTTGCATGCTAATTTGCTCTGCAGGTAGTTTAGCTTCCATCCACTTTTTTTTTTTTTCAGCACAACAAACTCTAAATGTTATGGCAATTTATGTCCTTTAAGCATATTTTTCTTTAAAAAGTTAGTAGATAGAGTAATAGAGTGCTAGTATTTCCTATTGGTTTATACTTGTGTGATACACTACTGATATCTTAAGTATTGCCTCTTTTTTTTTTTTTTTTTTTTTTTTTTTTTTTTTTTTTTTTTTTTTTTTTTTTTTTTTTTTTTTTTTTTTTTTTTTTTTTTTTTTTTTT